ATATGCCACCCACACCGCTACCAACCCCCCTCCACCCCTCTCCCACCTCGTTTCCATTCCCGCATCAGAAAACCCCTCGGCGACCACACTGCACGAGTCACAGGTGCCTCCTTGGGGGCAGGGTGGTACGACAGGCGGCAATCCCTTTACGGCCATCGTCCGCATGCCGAGCGTCTCCTGGGACCGAGACGTCTCAGGTACAACGGAGGATGTTGCGACGGTACGTCAGCTGCAGGTGCATCGAATCTATTTGATGCTGCGGCTTTTGTCGTGTTCCATCATTATATAGTTTTGTTTTGTGTCGCTTCTCCGTGAATGCAAAACGCGAGCTCTCTCCGGCGCATGGTTTGTACCGCACTGCCCAAGAGCCTACGTCTATCTCGCCAAAACTCGCAGCTGACTTGCGAGGCAGAGTATGGGTCAAATAACCCCCAGAGCGGCATGGGAGGCGCTTGTTGAGTAGTAGATTCCCAACAGGGATGTGCTTGGACAAGGTACATGCACCGTGCTGCCATCTGCGGCGCGCACGAGTACTGTGTGTGTGTGTTGCACGTGTGGTGTCGATGCACAACTTCGATATCTGGGGCTGTGTGTCCATTAATTCTAGATTCGAAGCTTACGTGACTGCAAGGATTCATACTCTTAGGTTTTTTCGGTAAAGTCACGTAGGTAAAAAATAATAAATGAAATAACTAAATTACATTACGACGTTTCGGAAGAAACACAAGCCTCCGTCATCAGGTGTAACTGCTCCAGCAAAATTACTAGCCTATTAATTGCGTCTCCCGAAAGAAAGATCACTGAACGAACTTTGCGAAGCCCCCTTTTTTCCCCGTCAATCCGCTGCCGGATGAGGGCTCCCCCTCGCCATGCGTGTTGTGGCGGATACGTGACCGCACTTCACCTCCCCGGTAGGTGCGGGTTGGCGAAGGCGTGGCGCATAGACGCGGAAGCGTAGTACAGTAAAATGGTTTTTTTGTCCCACTGCCCTCCGCTGCCCACACGGTAGCTCCACCGCAGCCTAAAGCACCAATCATTATTATTTTTATTTTTTGCACGGTTGCTTGCCCATCGGGAGCGCTGGCCAGACTCGAGCGAACCTCGCCTCTCAAGATCCGTGAAAGGTTACGGAGGAAGGGGAGGAGGGCGGGGGGTGTTCGCAAGTCTGGGTGATTCGGTCATATAATGTGACAACTCTATTAAAGGCTTCCACATACAACAAATTACATTGGTTGCTCAATATCAGCCACTCGTGATCCAATGTGCCAACCGCTAAACCGCAGCGGGAGCCAGACGCCGCCGATGCCGCCCACGCAACACGCAGCTCTTGGCGGTTAGAGGGGGGCACGATTTGGACCTCGGCGCGAGAGAGCGCTACAATAGAAACCTTGGCGGGTTTGACATCTTACGATCGTCGTCATCTGCCTGGTGCCGGCCAGCCAGCAAACGGCCAGCCAGGAACGGACTGAGCTTGTCGCTTTCCGGCATCATCAACACAGCGATAATAATACTGGTGGTGGTGGTGGTGGCGGTGATGATGAAGATGGAAGGTGTTTGCTCAGAGAAGCCTCGTTTCGAGGATTCAATACGCATTTGTGAAGGTTGCCCACTTCCCATTGAAAGGAGCGTTTGGCCACGAGTGCACGAGAAAACGGTGCCATAATTGCAGATTGTGGCGTACTCGGATGCCTTTGTGGGACACATGGCATCTAGGCATGTAGGCAGGCGGGTAGATAGGCATGCAGATGTGTAGGTGGGTAAGTATAATTATTTGCAGGCAGGTCGGTGAAAAGATGGGTAGGAAGGCAGGCAGATAGGTATGTGGGCAGGTAGGCACGTAGGCAGGCAAAATGATAGATATACATTTAGGTATGCAGGCATATATGTAGGCAGGCAGATAGGTAGGTAAATACAATGATAGGTAAGTTGGTCTGAAGGTATGCAGGTAGGCAGGTGGGTAGGTAAATGATGGGTAATCAGGCAGATAAAGTAATAAGAGACAGTTAAATATGCAGGCAGATAGGTAGCTGGGTGGGTAGGTATTTTGTATCCTTTATTTCAACGATGATGATTATAGCAACATGTATTTCTTCCCCCCAGTAAAACCTGGCATTTTTTACCAATAAAGTAATGTTCGCATCCACTTACATTCCTATCCAATGCACCAATCTATAGGGTACACTTACACGTGCACCTCTGACTGCCTGCAGGCTAAATGCATTTGTCTAATGGGGGGGGGGGGGGAGGAAACGGTGACTTTATTACAAGTGTCAGAATGTTTCCCGAGCAGGTGTCTCTTTCCTAAATAGATGTATTATACGGTCATGAACAGAAGTAGACTCGAGAGAGAAAACACGCAGATCAGAGACACCATATTCTTGGTTCTTTCGGTAAAGTCACGTAGAAGAGAAATAATAAAATACCATAAATATAAAACAATAAATATAAAAAATATATATTATGTATTATTTCCCTTCTACGTGACTTTACCGAAAGAACCAAGAACATGAATCGCTGCAGTCACGAAAGCTTTAAATCAAAATCAGAGACACCGTCACACAATACATCGACCGGCACGAAACGCGCGTGGCCTCGGGCAGGACACGCCGCCGTTGCCGCGAGGAGCCACGGACGACGGCTCCGGTTTGGTGGAGGCGACAGAACGGCAGCCACAACGAGCGTCGCCGCTCCAACAACAACAAAAACGCCACGAGGGGGATGCCAACGGCATCGGGGAGGACTTCACCCCAGCAGTGAGCAGTGGATAGATAATGGCTCACGATGATGATGATTATAGGTAGGAGCTGGACGGACGCTTTTTGGCGTCGCCGCTCCAACAACAACATAACGCCACGAGGGGAATGCCAACGGCATCGGGGAGGACTTCACCCCAGCAGTGAGCAGTGGATAGATAATGGCTCACGATGATGATTATGACGACGCTTGCGAATGATGCATGTGAAAATTAACAGCGCCGGGGGGAGGTGGGGGTGTGTGGTAGGGAATGAAGGCTGAAGAGACTACGGTGAAGCAAGTCCTTGCCCGAGTTTTCCGAAGAGAATGTCTACACAGAGCGCGAGGTGGTGGCGAGGCGCGTGGTGGCTTTCGCGTGCCTCCCACTCGCCATGCTGTCAGCACCGTTCATCACGAGAAGGCTTCTTATCAGCACTATTGAATGAAATAGGGACCTCTGTCCAAATCCTGCACCCCCCTCCCCTCTCCCCCCCCCCCCACCTGCCCACCACCCCTCGCAAGCCAGCACCTGGGTCTCTCCATCCCCGTGTGCCCCAGGTGCAGTTGCACCACCTGCACGCTCGACGTCCACAACCACCGCCTCACAAGCGCTGCACACCTGGCAGAGCCGGGGTGAAGTTTAAAAAGTGAAAGAAAGAAAAAAAACCACCCCGAAGCGGATCACGATACCTTAGCACACGCGCGACCTGCACGGGACGGCACTCGACGCTTAGTGACTAAAAAAAAAATGATTTCAAAAGGAGAACGTGCACAAAGACGGGGAGATCGTCGCATCGACCGTACACAGAGGGTCGCCAGACGTGGTGGCCGGGTCGAGACTAGCAGCGGAGTGGCAGCCCCCGAGAGGGACGCCCACGGCGGAGACGGAGCGATGGAATTCCACAACGCGAGCGATAAACGTCACGAGATTTTTGCACGAGGGTTAACATTGCTCGGAGTTCATCTCCTTCGTGATAAAAAAATATATGTAATGGATAAATGATTAAATGTTTTGGCCGACGTTGTGAAAAGATGTACTGTACATTATTCACTATGTGTGTTATCGAGGAAAATTTGCATTATTCAGTTAATTTTGAGCTCTTGAAAAGGCACTTAGTGTTGACATATCGTTCATTATTAAGCTCCTTACCCAGGAAAATCTGAAGCCACGTGACTTAAACGGACAGAACAAAAATGTGTGATGCTATGATGCGCATGCCCTATATTGCACTTGTGAGTCACTTAAAAGTAACTTGAAATATCCAGTGTCGAAAAAGTTTCCTGCTGGAAGGACAGACCGAATTCACGTGATGATGGGAATCAGTGTATCGCAAAAAATGTTTGAGTTATATTAATCTCGGCTTGACACTCATTAAAACAACAAATTGGCCAAGCATCTACTTGCAGGGTTTTCCATTTAAAAATGAAATGCCCCTTTGTCAACTGGGACATAAACCTCACCGACTCTGAAGAGTCCTTTTCACGAGGGTCCTGCATTTGGACGTTTGGCCAATTCCATTTAATGAGCGTCTTGAGACTCGGCGGAGGCTTCCTTGGCTCAGTCAATGACATTATCGTTATTATTGCTGTTTTTTTAGGGGTTTCCGGCGTAATCCCTCCTCCAAATTAACAGTGCTCGCATACCCAGCCAGAGTGCAAGTGTCCCCCACCCCCCGCCCGCACTTTACACACGCAAAGACAAAGATCCCCCGTATAGCCTCAACGGAATGTTGGGGCAAGTGCTGTTAGCGGGCACCCGATGAAGAGCGGCATACGCGCGCGCACACAAACACAACTCCACCGCACATGGCATTAAAGCACGTAGCGCTGAAGCCATGAACGAAGCGGTCACGACTAGAGAGAGAGACAAGAATAATAAGTGAGCAATAGAGAGACAGACGGAGAGACGTGCGCTAGGAAGGTGCCATTGCTCGAAACGTCGCCTATAACAAAAAATATATGTTACGTCCTTTTCAGGTCACGGTGTTAATTGACGAATGTTGTTCAATTGCATCGCTAATTCGCGCTCGCGGTATAACGCAACAAAACATTTACTTACATTTTTAGACCGACGTACGCACTGACAAACAGACGGGCGAGGGAGGGAGGGAGCGAGGGAGACACACTGGAGGTGATCGAGACGAGAGCACGGAGCTTCCCGAGTCGGCGGTGTGGAAGGGAAGTAACGGGGGGGGTGGTGTGGTGGTGGTGGTGGTGGGGATGACGCGAGAGATATTTACGCGCAAAAATGTGATCGTACGGCTTACCGGCTATAACCGCGGGGTTGTTCTGCCCTCCCTCGGGACTGGCCCAGACTTCCACGGTGAACGCGGACCTGGGAAGCCCTCCCGGCACGCGGCTTGCGCGCCTCTTCAGCTGCTCCCGCCTGCCAGAGAAGTAGAGCGACACAGCGTGCGGATGACGGTGTCCGCGCGTCGCCGCGTCCGCCGCCGCCGTGACGGAGTGCGGCTCGGGCCTGTGTCCCCTGGGCGAGTGGCGAGGATAGCGGCTCAGCGGGTGGTGGTGGTGGTGGAGCGAGCGACGGCCGCGGGACAGCCGCGTCTCGCAGCCCAGAGAGCCGCCCGGAGCGGCGAGAGTCAGCAGGAGGAGGACGATGCCCACGAGAAGACCCTTGCAGGCGTTACATGACGACGGCGCCGACGCCGACGATGTCCGCATGGCGATGTCGCCTCCAGGATTTTGGGGGGTCGGTAAAGAGAGCGGCGAGCCTCGTCGTCGTTCTGCTCGGCCGGCAGCGAGCGTGATGGTGACGGTAGTCGTCGTGGTGGTGGTTGGTGGTGGTGGTGGTGATGAGCCAAGACTAATGCTTTTTGATGTCTGTATTACCAGCTCTGACCCGTGTAAACAGGCGGTTAAAGCGTTACTTAGAGATTGCTCTGCGAGCCAAGTTGAAGTTGCCCCGAAGGCTCAACGCTCGGATGCAAAAGCTTGGGTGAGTAAATTAAAACACGGGTGTGATTTTTTTTTTCGGAAGAGGCTTGGATTTGTTTTTAAGTATACGACGTTAAACGCAGCTGCGGCGGATTACATTGAGTGGAAAAAATATATAAGTGAAAATAAAAACACACACAACACTACCCTGTTAATTCTTCACAATAGCAAGCACCCGTTCTGTAATAATGTAAAGTGTGTGTGTGTTAGTCGTCGTGTGGCCGGTCTACTAAAGGTACCGAATGCGCGAGTCTGTAAACATTAAAACAGTCCAGCCGGTCGCGACAGTCACTTATGAGCGCTCCGTGTTGGAAAGCGGCCGAGTTAGCGATTTCAAAAATATATATATACCGAATTCCCCCCTCCCTCCTTCCCACCATCACCACCACCAACTAACAACACCAACAATTATCATAACATGCCCAGAAATAGAGTAAACACGCCACATTCGCCACCGTGTGTGCTCCCCCCTCGCTCCGTTGACAAGGCGCAGCGTGCTCCGGTCTCACTGGAACCACCAGCTCCGAAAATCCACCACGACCACCACCCCACTACTACGAACACCACCACCAGCACCACTATAGCACCGGTTACCCCCCCCCCCTCTCCCAAACCAATCCCTCTAAACCCCCCGCTACCACCACCACCACTCCGCGCTTTTAAGGAAAAAAATTCAATATCAGGACAAGATCTATAGCAGCAGCAGCAGCAATAATCGCTGCAAGCGGCGGCAGCAGTAGTGGTTAGCAGTGATATTACTACAACAACAACAAAATAAGAGCGAGCGAGACACAGAAGGCCGTGCCGGCTTGCTCGAGCAGCAGCAGCAGCGGCAGCAGCGCCGAGCAGAGAGGATTTGGGCAGCACGGAGCTGAGAGCGCGGACTTGTAACGGGGCAGTAAACAAGCGATCTGAAATCGGCTTCCCCAGGGGAACTCCGCCACTCGCCACTCCCTACCCTACCCCCTCTAACCGGCCTCCCTCCCTCCCTCCTCTCTCGCTCGCTCACCCCCCTCCCCACCACTTCTAACCCCCCTCAACCCCCCCCCCCCCAACCTTCATCCCACACCACCACCACACACCACCCCCCCGCTTCCCCACCACCACCCCCTGCTCGCTCCCTCTCCCCTCCCCGCCCCGCTCCCTTCACCGTACGGTTTAACAATCAATCAGTCTCTGTGCAGAGCCCGGCCAACGCCGTGCGTGTCTGACAGAACTCTGTGGCTCTTATCTCGCGGCTTGCCCCCCCTCCACCACCACCCCCCCCCCCCCCGTGCATCTCCTCTCGCACCCGGTACGGAGAACGAGTGAACGCGCTCTCAACTCTCTGCCTTGTCCCGTTCACATCCCACCCACCAACTCCATCCTCAACCTCACGCGCCCCCCACCCCCCCTTAATGCAAGAGGAGCAAGTGCGATGTGGATGAGTAGAGGAGGAGTGGTCGCTTTGCTGGCAGAGACTCAAGTTTATCGCGCAGACTTGCTTGCTTTCGCCTCCTGTGGATGTTACCCCCAGGGAGGCGCTTAGAGGAGGGGGGGGGGGGAAGAGGGGATTCTTCACTGCTGCTATCTCTTTCTCTCTCGTCCTTCGCGTGTGTCTGTGTGTGTGTCTGTCTCTGTGTGTCCGTGTGTGTGTGTCTGTGTATGTGTCTGTGTGGGGAGCGGTAGTGTAGCGGTTAGCGCGCTGCGCTATGAACCTGGTGACCCGGGTTCGATTCCCGCTCACGGCTAACACCAGTGACGATTATCTGAACCGGTCCTGGGCCTCCCCTAGGTCGACTCAGCCTTAAATGAGTACCTGGTGCGGTGTGTAAACATCGCCACTGGGGAGACAAAGGCGGTCGGGCGTGGTGCTGGCCACCCACCCCCTCGTGTACCGTTCCGGCCTTCATAGGTGCTCGCTAACAGCACTTGCCCCTACAGTCTGTTCAGGCTATACGGGGGATCTTTATCTTTGATCTTTTGTGTCTGTGTGTGTGTGTCTGTGTGTCTCTGTGTGTGTGTGTGTCTGTGTGTGTGTGTGTCTGTGTGTGTGTCTGTGTGTGTGTGTCTGTGTGTGTGTGTCTGTGTATGTGTGTCCGTGTGTGTGTGTGTGCAGCTAGCGCTAAACTGGCGACCCGGGTTCGATTCCCGCTCACGGTCACCAACACCAGTGACGATTGTCTGAACCGGTCCTGGGCCTCCCCTAGGTCGACTCAGCCTCAAATGAGTACCCGTTGCGATGTGTGGGGAGACAAAGGCGGCCGGGCGTGGTGCTGGCTACCCACCCCCTCGTGTGCCGTGCCTGCCTTCGTAGGTGCTCGCTAACAGCACTTGCCCCTACAGTCTGTTAAGGCTACACGGGGGACCTTTGTCATGTTACGGGGAAGCGGTGGCGTAGTGCTCAGCACACCTGTGCAAAATTACTATAACCGCATGGGACGCATATCCCACTGTGTGCAGACATCAGACATGGCTTCTGATTACTGGCCACGGTTCACATCAGTGGCGAATGGTATCTGAACCAGTCCTGTGACCCCCCCCCCCCTCCCATGTCGGATAGGCCTTAATTGATTACCTGATGCCACTGTGTGTAGACATCGGCACACTGGTGAGACAAAGGCGGCCGGGCGTGGTCCGTCTGTGATCAATAATCATTCATCCAGAGGTGTCATCATCGTCGTCGTCGTCTTCGTAACAGTTACACTCAACTCAGGACTCCATCTCCCCCGTTGTTTCGTTCACAAATACAAAAGATCGTCACTGGTGTTGGGGCAAGTGCTGTTAGCGAGCATCTATGAAGGCTGGCAAGGTACACGAAGGGGTGGGTTGGCACACACCACATCCGGCCTCCTTTGCCTCTCCAGTGGCGATGTTTCCACACAGCACAAGGTACTCATTTAAGGCTGAGCCGACCTAAGGGAGGGCCCAACACCGGTCGAGATATTCGTCACCGATGCTGGTCGTGATCGTGAGCGGGAATCGAACTCGGGCCGCCCGGTCCGTAGTGCAGCGCGCTCCCCACACACACACACACTGCATTCCCAGCCTGCGCTAAAGGTATTCCAGTATTCCCTCCATCATGCCCCCCCCCCCACCACTTCCCTGAGCTAAGCCCCCCCACATCCTCCACTTCGTCCCACGTCTATGGACCCCCCATTGGGGGGTCGGCGGGCTTTCTACTCATTTAAGAAAGCGGCTCGCAGGGGGGAGCCGAGTGGGGGTCGCGTTGGTGTCTCGGTGAGCTTCAAGACGGTGCAAAGTGTGCGCTAATTAACAGGCGCGCTGGCTTCCGCTCCCATTTATCAGAGAGAACTTTCCCCAGGAGAGAGAGGGAGGGAGGGAGTCATTGCGTCCCGTCTGGCAGATTAGTGTGTGTTGGAACGCCCCTAATTGAGAGAGGGAGAGAGGGCTGGGGGGGGAGGGAATAACTGCGTTAGGCAAACGCGTTCCAAAGGATTCGAGCATTCTTTAGAGGGGCCCCCATATTTTTTGTCGTTTTTAAATCATTTTTTTACTAATCGCCGAATTGTTGGCTTGTGAGAGGAGGAGATCGTGCCCAGGATCGGTTGGGATATCGCTCACCGCTGATGTTGGCCGTGACGTGGAAGTGCAGTGCGCTGTCCGCTATACCACCCGATGTACTGTGTATAATAGCAATAATTATTTATTTACAGCCCTTGTGTAAAAAGTACTAATTGCATGGGGGAGGGGGGAGGGGGGTGGTGTAGCAAATTCATAATTGGAATTACGCTGAGAAGCAGACAGAGGGAACACGTGGATCAGGAGGTAATCAGAGAGGCACCGTGACAGACCCGTGGAAGCGATGAGGAAGAGGGGGGGGCATGGAGGAGGGGGGAGGAGGAGGGGGGAGGAGGAGGGGGGAGGAGGAGGGGGGAGGAGGAGGGGGGAGGAGGAGGGGGGAGGAGGAGGGGGGAGGAGGGAGGAGGATACACACCACAACTAAATGGGATGATGGCTGATGGACAAGTCTGGTGACGGAGTCGCATCCGAAGGAAGACGCCCGAGTGAGTAAGCTCACGGTGTGGACGGACTGACGAAATCAATTCGTGTGGATGAGTACGATGGCCTGCGGGCATCTCGGGGGACGTGATGATTTGGCGACTGGAATGGGGAATGCCTTCATCCAGCAGTCGACAATCACGACGGCGGCGACGACGACGATTGTGATACGTGCACGTGCAGCATTCTTTTATTTTACGTGCAACGTTGCTAAATTAAGCGCACCTGCCAAATTAACTTAGCTGCTAAATTATACGAGCCATTTTAACAAAAACAACAACAAAAATACGATGTAATTGGGACAAAGAACAGCGGCAGGGTAAGAAAACCCCTGCATATTGTTTAATAATAAAAAACATTCAGCCGCGCGGGAACAAAACGCACGTGCATTCCGACGCTGACATTTCTCCATTTCAAATCTCCCAAAAGTGCCTTTCGCGCAGATGAAAGCATCATTGACTTTACACCTTCGTGGCCACCATGTGTGCTCGCTCACATTAGAACTTTGACCGCTTTAAAGAGGTTAACGTCAACAGTCACGGAGGTGCGAGTTGACAGTTTCACGTTTTTATTTTTTTGTACGAAACGAAAAGCTAATTTTTCATGGGTTGTGTTGTGGTTTTTTGTCGTGCGTTTTAAACAGCGCACCTAAGAGCACGGAACGTAGCCGTGGCTTCGCATAAATGCGTTTGGAATACAATTCATCACATTCATCCTGACTGTGGCCCACAGCTGGCGTATGTCTAAATAAATGCGCAATTGTTGCGTACGTGCGTGCGTTTGTGGTGCGTGTTCTTTTTGCATTGCGTAACTTAATTTGACCTGTGGCCTTAAACTCATGGTCTTTGTATGTATGCCGACTACGGGGCCTCTATTGCTCCAGAGCCGCTGGGAGGATGGACCTAAGGCTGGGGGGGGGGGGGGGGGATCACGTGGCTACCTCCTTTGAAGGGAGGGGACTCATGAAGCCTCAACATGGGGGCCCCTTGAAACCACAACAAGGTTGGCGCCGTGAGATCACAGAATTAATGTGAGCTTGACTTTTTTTCCCTTCCAGCAAGAGAAGCTTTCGGAAGTGCGAAGCCACTTCGAGAGGACCACCCGTCATCAACCGCCAGTGCAGGATACCCCGAGCTCAGAGGGCCACCGGAGAGAAGCTCGCAACCACCACCACAACAACAACAACAAAAGCCACCCCATGCCTGGCTGTATGTCTTGAATTCATTCACACGTGTTCAGCCCCAGGTTGTTCACTTGGTCCACGCACAATAAAACTCCTTTACGCCTATTAGCAGCGGCAGAGGCGGCTGATAATGCACGTGCGATCCAGGATGTGTGATGTGGTGGTGGCTAATGGACCAATATTGAGATGACTGGCAGATGCACAACCTGTTCTGTGCTCCCCACTGCGCCGTGTTTTAGACGGTCTGCTGAAAAACCGGGGCCTGTTCAGTGGCATCCTGCCATGAAGCATTCGACAATCTTGACTTAAAGCTTTCGTGACTGCAGGAATTCAAATTCGTTGGGTCTTTCGGTAAAGTCACGTAGATAGGTTCAAGAAAAATAAAATAAAAAATAAAAACTACGACGTTTCGATCGCAACAC